AAAAAAAAATAAAATAAACCTTCTAGTATCCACAGGCCAAGCTTTTTAATCTGACACTTCATTTTTGAAAATGGAACGAATCTTGCAGATCTCAAGGCACTGACAAAAAATGAATAAATTATTTTATCCATTAGCGAAAAACGCATTACTTCAGAAAGTGCAAAAATGAGCAGGTTTTTATTTCTTCTTTTGAAAGCTAAGAGCCCGTACTATTTAATAAAATTAAAAAAAAGATAACCTATTAAAATTTAGCATTTTTTGAAATTTTGTTTAAAAAAAATGCTTCTTTTTTTTTTTGAAAACCGCAGGGACACCCTGTGTTTAATTTCATTCCAAAATTTTAATTTCGGTAATTCTCTACTATCTATATGGAAACAAGAAACGTCAAACCAACATTTTATTTCGAAGAATATATTTTTGACATTTTTTTCTGTGAAGAGCTTACGCCTGGCTATGCTTTTATTAAAATTCTTAGTATAAAATTTGTCGAATTTAGTGGCTTCCTGGCGGCATATAATTAATTAATTAGGACAATGTCTGTTTAATTCTTTTTAGTGGATAATTTGTCTTTACAAAAATACCAAACAAGTTCACATTGCAGATATTGGAATTTTCGATTTTTGCCCACTTAGGCGGCACTGTGCAGCGGCCCGATTTTTCGCAAGGTTGTGGGAATTTAAAAACAAAGGAGGTTTTTTTTCAAAAATTGATATAGCAAAAAGGGCTGAACAAAAAAAAGTTACAAAATCGGTGAGGTGTCTCTCAATTGGTGCTATAACATTTAAAATTATAGAAAAATTGGAAATACAAAAACCAAATATATGCATATGTAAATACGTATTTAAACAAATGTTTAAATAACATTGAAAATTATAATATATAACATTGAAAGCAATCCATAAAACAAATGGATGGTTTAAATGACTTAAGCAAAAAAAGAATAGTAAAGTGCAAATTAAAGCACACCACAGCCTTACGCCATTCTAAACACTTTATTTTCTTAAACTAAGTCAGTGGTGTCTAAAAAGACTTTGCGTTAACGCGCCGGTAATTATATTCTAAATTTAATATTTTATTTATGTATGTGTGAGTAAGTAAGCGCTTACTTTTGTGCGTATTAGATATGTTATTGGTTTTAATTTATCTGCTGCTTTAGGTTAAGGTCAACTAGAAAAATCGAGTGTTTAAGCAAGTAAAGTATTAGCAAAGAAAAGAAGCATAAAGCTTTAAATTACAATTAGAGAATAAAATGCCAAGCGACCGAGTGACGAAAAGGCAGATCGGCCAAATCGAAGTCGAATTAAAGAAAATTGCAGTTTGATCGATTAAGTGCAAATGTTAGTAGTTTAGAAGTCACAGAAATTCATAGATTACAAGGTGCACGGACGAATTCAAAAGCAATGTAGTTACTTTTAAAAATGCTATGATTCAAATTGATTTGAAAATTGACTGCCCCTTTTTTTTGGTCTACCATGTCTAAAAAAAATTTAACTTACTTAAAGCAAGAATTTGCATTACTTTCAAGATCAAAGGCGAGAATAGACGCATATAGGTTTTAAGAAAAATGAAGCACAGTTCAATGCTCGTTTTCGCGATGTCTTTGACAAAATTCAAAAGACTTAGGACACGAACTTGTTTTTGAAACTTGGAAATGGAAATATATACATATATGGATTGTTTAGTTATATATTTGCAAGCGAACAACAAAAAAAAAAAAACATATTTAACAAATACAGGCTGAATAGTTAAAAAATTTGTGTTAATATTTGAGTGATATTATGCGTTTAATCTGGAAATTTTCAATAAATAATAGTAGGATTTTTGTTAATTCAAAAATAAAAATACACCATAAAATTACTTGTAAAATAAAAAAATCATACTACAGCTAAAGCAGCATATTCACACAGGTTTACACAATAACATCTCTAAATCTGTCACGCGCATAAAAGCAAAGTGTTTGCTTTGAAAACCATTTCCATTTGCTGCGGAAATTTGTGTTTACAAACTTTCAAAACCAAAAGTTTGTATTAGCATCAATATGTAGATGTATATAAGTACATACATCATACGTATGTTTATACGTATGTACATACATATGTATGCATATATTTTTTACCATTCGTTACACAAAATTCTTTAAAATATTATATTCAAATAACGTAATAACTTCCGCCACTTCCGTACCTTTTATTTGCACCAAACACACAAAATCGTCGATAAATGCTGGCAATTTGTTAACAAACTGTCAGAATATGACAATCACTGCTGAAACGTACTCGAATGCGTAAATTCTTGCCGTACGTGTATGTTTGTATGTGTTTCTTGTTGGCATCCGTGTGTTATTGCCACAAAACTATCAAAACTCACTGAAAACCAAAAAAAAAAA